GCTTTCTAGACCGACGGCTGAGCAGCCAGTGCCCCAGCAACACTCGATACTTGCCAGCAAGTTAAAAAACTATGGATTGGATAAGGTAGATAGAAAGCTGGCTAGATCATCGGGCTCAACGGGTAGTGATCAACATCTCGATGTCTAGTTGACAGCCGGTATCAAGCGGAATGCCCCAGGAGTCGATCCTGGGGCCGGTTTTGTTCAACATCTTCATTAATGATCTGGATGATGGGATGAATTGCACCCTCAGGAAGTTCGCGGATGACACTAGGCTGGGGGGAGAGGTAGATACGCTGGAGAGTAGGGATAGAGTCCAGAGTGACATAGACAAATTGGAGGATTGGGCCAAAAGAAATTTGATGAGGTTCAACAAGGACAAGTGCAGAGTCCTGCACTTAGGAAGGAAGAATCCCATGCATTGCTACAGGCTGGGGGCTTATTGGCTAAGCAGCAGTTCTGCAGAAAAGGACCTGGGAATTACAGTGGACGAGCAGCTGGATATGAGTCAGCAGTGTGCCCTCATTGCCAAGAAGGCCCACGGCATGTTGGGCTGCATTAGTAGGAGCATTGCCAGCAGATCGAGGGAAGTGATTATTCCCCTCTATTCTGCACTGGTGAGGACACATCTGGAATATTGTGTCCAGTTTTGGGCCCCCCACTACAGAAAGGTTGTGGACAAATTGGAGAGAATCCAGCGGAGGGCAATGAAAATGATTAGGGGGCTGGGGCACATTCCTTGGAGGAGAGGCTGAGAGAACTGGGCTTATTTAGTCTGCAGAAGAGAAGAGTGAGGGGGGATTGATAGCAGCCTTCAACTACCTGAAGGGGGATTCCAAAGAGGATGGAGCTTGGCTGTTCTCAGTAGTGGCAGGTGACAGAACAAGGAACAATCGTCTCAAGTTGCAGTGGGGGAGGTCTAGGTTGGATATTAGGAAAAACTATTTCACTAGGAGGGTGGTGAAACACTGGAATGGGTTACCTAGGGAGGTGGTGGAATTTCCATCCTTAGAGGTTTTTAAGACAAAGCCCTGGCTGGGATGATTTAATTGGGGTTGGTCCTGCTTTGAGCAGAGGGTTGGACTAGATGACCTCCTGAGGTCTCTTCCAACCCTAATCTTCTATGATACCCCTGCAGCATAGTCACAGTCATGTATTGTACCAACAGGCAGAGATGCCAGAGGAATCATCAAAGTTGTTTAAAACACCTGAGCCATTCCAGGCATCTGTCGAGAGAGGAGATGAAAGTGCCCATTGCTCTAGTCCAGAGAAAGGCAAAGTAGTATTGCTATTAAGAGTCAATAGCCATGGGGTTGGCATGGTGAGTTATACAGTTTGTTGCTCTCTGGCGTCACTTCTGTAGTTGTTGACATCACTCAAGCTCCTAGATTGAGAGACGGCTGATAACTAACCACCTGCATCACATCTATGAGATGTTAACATTCCTGCATCTCAGTCTTGCTGCATAAGACCCCTCTGCCCATGTGGAGGGGCATTTTCCGGCGCTCTGTTGGCGTGGAAGGTGACTGAGTCTCGGTGGGAGTTTCCGGAGTTCTGCCCTCGAGAGTGTGTGTATCATTGCTGTGGCTGCCCCGTGGGAAGTCTGGAGCAGAGTCGAGGCCATGGAAAGGGAGACGGGATGAAGCAGTGAGAGGCATGGACTCAGACATGTCCAGTGAGGTTCAGGGGAAGGTGCTGGGTTGGGTTCAGTGCAAACTGAATCCTCATGTTAAAGAAGCTGTGTGGGCAGGGGCTAGCCAGAGCCATAGACTGAGGTGAGAGCTAGTGTGTGACTGGCTCCAGGGAGCGACTGGCTCTGGGTTACCCCATAGTCCAGCCCAGGGACCTGGTCAGTGTCACACTGCAGATCAGCTCTAGGGGCCCACACAGGATCCCCTAGGACGTGGCCCCAGGGGTCTTCTCAGGGTCTCTGCTGACTCCCTAGTGTTTCGAGGAGAGCTAGTGAAGCTATGGATTGCTAAGTGAGGCATTTCAGGCCCCCACAGTCCTGGCACTAAAGCATGCTAGGGCTGAAGAAAGGCCCTGTGTTTCTGAAGTCCCCTTGCCATGCCAGGACTCCCTCATCTGTTGCCATTTGTTATCACAGCTGAGCCCCCCCAAATACCCTTGCCAGAAACACGTCCATTTCCAATCCCAGCCAAGATCTGATAAGGACCAAAGCATCTGTTCCACATTAGGCACTGCATGCTCTTGTTTCTTGCCGAGCATGAGAAGGCCTGGTGAGCAGGGATGCTGTGCTCTGACGAGATCCCATCTGGTGAAAATTAGGGAAATTATAACATCTTTTGGGGGGGCACAAGGGGAGTTGGTTTTGGTTGGCTTTGGAGTCACGTTTGGCTATTACACTGATGGAAACCTAGACACCTTTCCCAGTTCTTAAACAGCCTGAGTCCTAAGCTGGCTGATGGGACAGTCATCTCCAGGTTTGGCAGCTTCTCTCCCTCCTGCGACTCTCCCATCAAGCACTCACTACAGAATGAGTAAACCTTGTGGCTGTAGGACTGGGACAAGGGAATGAGTCAGTTTTGGTCCTCCCCATGGAGCTGGAGATCAGATGTGCTGGGAAGCACCAAGAAGACCCACTTCAGATTCATCCCATGGCTCTAGAGCCAGAGAGGAAGATGTGAAAGCAAGAACCATGAAGGAATAACTTCACTTCCATCCCCTGGGTATAGCTCCTGGGATGAGGGAGTAAAAGGGAAAGACCCACTCTAAGTCCTTCCAATGAAGACAGGAGACTCAGGAGACCCATGCTCCACCCGACTCTAGCTTATCTGTGTCCTCTGATGAGGGGAGATTGGACTATGGAAGTGTGTGTGTGTGTGTGTGTGTAAGGTGGAAACTGTATTCCAGTCCTGGTTCTAGCACTCATCCCCTCTGAGAGAGAATCATCCCATCACTATGGAAGAATGAGAAGATGGGTGTCGTTGCTAAGCATGGGTATGATGCAAGCAGCGTTACTGGACTGAAGCTTTCATCCCAGTCCCTCAGCTTCCTCCTTGAGGGCGTCAGTGGTTTGGTTCAGCAAATTCCTGCTGCATCAGCAAAAGTGTTGCAACCTCACGGGTGTTCCATTCATTGCAGTACCTTTCATCCTGTGAGACTGACCCACTGCTCCAGGCTCCAAGACCTCCTCTCTTGCCTCTGTAGACAGAGCGAGGGAGATAGCATAGAGGCCAGGAGTAGCTGGAAGGCAGGAGGGAGGAGTCCAGACCATTGAGCCTAGGAGCAGCACAGCTGTGGTTGCTTACAAGACACTGAGCGACTGGTATGGATGGATCACCAGCGATGACACAGGCGTTGCCTCTCCTCTCCCCTGCTCTGCGCTGCCCCTTTGCCAATACGCTGGGCTCACCACCGGCTGTGGCGCGCACACTCCTCATCTTGCCAACAATAAAAATGAGCAGAGTATTGTAAATGGTTTTCCCTTTTTCTGACACAAACCAGGGTCGCTTTTTACACATTTTTTCCAAGTTAAAAATCCCCTGCTGGAACCCAACCCTTTTATTTCTCTCTCTCTCCTCCTCCTTTTTCCCTCCCTCCCCTCTTTCACAAGGCTGCAATTAGTTACCTTTAATGAGCCTTAACACTCTCTCTTTCACCCTGCCCCCCCCCGCGCCCCCGGCCTGCTCACGATTGGCTAATTGATGGGGCCAGCTGGCTGGAGAGCCCCTGGAAATTCCTCCCAGGTTCCGCAAGGTCCTCTGAAGCAGCTGCAGCTGGGTTCGCCTTAAGGTAGGGAAGGGGGTGGGAGAAATTGGCTGTTCTGATGTCCGAAGCTCAAATGATGGCAGACAGCTGTAAGTGCCGATTCAAACACGCTGAGCTCTAGGGATTGAACCTGAGGAGACTTAACTGAAAAGAGGTCATGCCCTGCTCCAAGCCCTTTATGAAAAGAAACACACAGTAGGAGCATCCTCTGGCCAGATCCCTGTGCTAGGAATGAGATGGGAATTCCAGCTCTATGCTTCTCTGATCCTGGATGCTGCTTCTCTAGTGGACCCTCATCCCGGACTGAGGGGGGTCTACCTTCTCCCATGAGTGAGAAGAGAATTCATTCTCCAGGTTTCAGTCCTGGCCCATCCCACTCTTATCGGTTTCACCCTGCCTTGAGATTCCCATGATGCCACTTGCATTGCTCAAGGCTCTTTCCTCTCAGGAGAATCCTCTGGGGAGTTTCAAAACTCAGTCTCCTTTATATTTTGTCACTGGAGCTAATGTGTTTATCCAAGTGATAGGCTGTTAGCTGTAGTTGGTGCTAGATGTAGTGCAGGCGTGTGTTCTGCAAACTGCTCCTACTTAGTTTTGTCAAGGCACTTCAGTCTTGACTGGCAGCAGCTCCTGCTATTTCAGTTCCACGCCCCATCCAGCTTTGCCAATGCCCCGTAGTCCTACCTTTGTATTCATTATGCAATAAATTAGTGTATGTGCAAACACCCTGTGCAGTATTTACATCACACGCATGCCCTCACTTACACAAATGGGCTCCTGCATGCCAAAGTGTTTGGAGGGGGGCTGTTCTTCGTACAAACACCTGTAGAGAGAATCATTGCCATTTTTCATTAGTCACTGGTCACCATTCATTATTCTTCTGTGTAAAAACTTTAGTCGTCCAATCAGGGATTAGCAACAATACCATTTGATTGAGATGACCAGTCACATGCCACAAATACCAGATCATGAATAGCTAGTTGTGAGCAGCCCTTTGGTTTAAAATTGTTTATCTGAAAGTTTCAGTGAATACATTAAACCCATACACAGAAAATCAGGCTTGGTTAATGAACAGAAAAGAAGGTCTAAATGAGCTGAGTAATACCCCCAGCCAGATTTATGGTGTTTTAACAATATTTTGTTCATTTTCAGTCTGTGTGCAATGGCTATTATCAGAGACATGTCCTGTTCAGCACAGAGGGCTGTGTGTGAAATACATCTATTCCCTTTCTTTTAGCAGCATTTCTCTTTCTCTCTCATTTTCTCAGCTTGTGACTGCCACCCTGTTGGCGCAGCCGGTAAAACCTGCAACCAGACCACCGGACAGTGCCCATGCAAAGATGGTGTGACAGGGCTCACCTGCAATCGCTGTGCCAAGGGCTACCAGCAGAGCCGGTCACCTGTGGCTCCTTGCATCAGTGAGTAATGCTGTCAACAATGCCTAGTTCCAATGTTCGTGTGTTCTAGACCTCCAGTTTCTCCTTCGCCATCTTTACAAGTGCAAGATCATATAGCTATTTTGTTATCTGGGGCTGTGAAGTGCTTCCCTGCTGCCAGGGACTGTGAGATCATTGGCTCTTAGAAACTAAGCAGGGCTGGCATGGGGCAGCAGTTCGGTAGGACCTCTTCAAGGAGCACCACATGCTAGTGGATCCGTACCCTCAGGGGCTCTGCGCTGCTGGAGAACATCTTTTGAATGACCCCGCAGCTATGTGGGAGCTCTGCACAAGAGGATTTCTATCTCTACTCACTTCCTTCTCTTTCATCTAGCTCCCCTGTGGCTGCTGTCTGCACTGGCAGCCAGGCCAGTGTCCCAGCTCCCACAGCTGTGCTGGACTGAAGCTGAACTGGAAGCCTTGGGGAGGCTGTAAGATTCTTTCCATGCTCCTTGCCCCTGGGAGGCCAGCAGTGGGAAGAGATTAAAGGTGGCAGCTGTGTTGTGCTGACGGGAATGGGATGCTCCTAGTTTGGCTCCCTTGCAGAAGCACAACGGGGCAGAGTGGGGACCCCGTAGTGCACAGAGTCAGCTAGCTGGCATCTCTCTCCACCCGCTGATTGCAGTGCTGCAGGGAGCACAGCAATGGCTCTCGGGGCTGAGATGGGCAGCTCTGGTGGTTTCTCTAAAGGTCTCCTGGAAGCTTCCAGTTCCTCTTTATCTCGCATCAGCAACAGCAGAGTGGTCCCAGCAGGATCAGTGGATGCCTGGCCTGGCTCTCTTGTCCAGAGAGCAGCACTGGCTGGGAAGAGGAGGAGATACGTGAGCAGAGAACATCTCTTCCAGAGGTTGGCTGGTGCCAGGGTGTAGGCAGGGAGACAGTGCTGCTGCAGAGGCCAATAGAGAACATGACACAGAACACGCTGGCCTTGTCCCTCACTGCCACTTATATGCAGGGCTCCCAGCATGTCACCCCTCTGCACGGTCTAGGCTAGTTAACCTGGAGCTAGACGGTGCTGTCTGAACACGAGTGACCATGGCATTGGTATTTATAGGATCAGGCTGGTGCACAGTGCTGAGTGCCCTACACCACCATATGGAGTGGGGGTAAATGGGTGAGTCCTGCTCTTGTTCTCAGAACGTCTGTTGTAATAAATCCGTTACCACATAGGACTTCAGGGTTGTGGCTGTGCTGCCAGCTTGGATACTTGAAACTTCATGGCAACTATGGAGACAGAACTTAGAGCCTCATGCTCCTGAAACACAGAATGCCCCCTTTCCAACCACGTGAGCTAAAGGAGAATCTGCTTCCAGCACAGGGCCAGGAACCCTGTTTGAGCAGTTCCGACTCTACCCCCATACAGGCAATGGTAACATATTCACACTGCCCAGCTGATTACAAAAGAGTGGCTTGCTCTGTCTCACTGGATACCGGGCCAAATTCTGCCCCTGGTTGCATCAGTGCAAGTCTGGAGAAGGGCTGCACTGAAGTCAATGTAAAACTCCCATTTTCTTCAATGTTGCCAAGATTCAGTCCTAATTATAGTGGGCCAAATCCCCCCTGGTGTTAACTCCATTGAAATCATCAGAGTTATGCCAGTCTTGGCTCATTGACTTCAGTGGAGTTATTCTAGATTCACCCTGAAAACAGAACCAGCGCCCACTATGAATGAAGCTCGTTAATCCTCTATATGAATCCTTTGGGGGGTGTTTTTCCTGGACTTATCCCCTGGGGAACCCTACGTCTCCCAGGGTTCCCTCTAGCCTCACTGGCAGGGACAACAAGGGGGATGTACTATGATGCACCCCCTCTTAGTGCCCGGCATGTCCCTGTGGCAGAAGCAAAGGAAACCAGCAGGGAGTGCTGCTTTGTCCTTTCTTGCTGCTAGCAATAGACTCTCCACCAGCAGAAGCACGGGAGGGGGTATAGGTTTTGACGAACCCCACTGTTGGAAAGCAAGCACCCTTTCTTAAGAATCTCACCCTTTCTTTTCCAGAGATTCCTGCCATCAACCCAACCTCCGTGGTCACCAGCACAGAAGAGCCAGCAGGTGAGTGCTCTAAATCCTGGGATACAAAAGACATAATAAGAACACTATCTGGGCACCTTGCAGCTATTCCTGTCTAATTGTATTTTCCCTTTGCCATTCCCAGAAGACTCCCCACTTTCCCCTTATTTAAGCGTGCACTGGCATTGAACACCGAATAGTCTCCTCATGCCCAGCTTGGTTGCAGAGAGCAAGCAGCTAGGTCTCCTCCAGTGAAAAATAAAATGTGCAAATGAGGTTTTAAATTATTTTTGGAACCCAACCAAAGAAACTTGACAGGAGTCCTATGAGCCTGCCTGCACTCTGGCCAGGAGCAGCCCACCCCCCTCGAGGGAGGGAACCTAGTGCTTTCTCACACTGGGATTCAGGGGGGGATTGTTTCTTTAATCCTCTCCAAACACAAAAGATTTCCCCTGAGTGCTCTTTGCCTCAGTATCAGCTGCCTCTGGGGAACATGTGGTTTCCAAGTCTGCTGTTCTTGTTCCAACGCTCTCAGGCCATGGCATCTGTCCCACAGCTGTGCCGTCCAGTGGCAGGTTGAGAAATGGGTCAGCTTGCACCACCGGAACACATGTTGAGTTCCCTTTTCAGAACCAGATGGGGCCTGGCCCTCGGATGGGTACCTCCCCCCATCTCTGCACTCCCACACAAGGGCCTGGCATAGTTGCTGTCCTGGCATTCTCCTGAGAGCGGGGAGCTCCTGGCCTGCCTAAGCAGACAGAAAGCATTGCTGGCCACAGCTGATTTCTGAGCATCCCTGAACAGCCATCGTTTGAAATGGAGGACTGGCCTCCTGTTGCTAGCTCTTCCTACAGCTTCCCTCTACCTATCTGCATAGCCTCCTTTCCTCACGGACTGGGCTTGAGCCAGCTAGGACAACAGGGTAATGGTGCACACTTGATGGGAAGGGGAGAGAGAAGCCAAGTGTCAGCTGCATAGCGATGGCATGGTAAACCCATAATGTCTCGCAGCCTCTACAGGAGGCTCGGCTCTGAGTTAAGCAGGAGAGGTAACAGGATTGTTACCTATGGGAAACCTAGGAGAGTGCTTTGACAAGGAGAAACAGCTGTCCATCACAGTCCCAGGAGCTATCTAAGAGGAAGGAGCAGGACTGTTTTAATGGAACTCCACCCATCCCTGCAAGATCCTGCGGGCAGGTTAGTGGCACCTCATGGTCCACAAGCCAAAGACTGATGATAGCAAGAGCAAGGCCTTCTGTCCTCAGGCCTCATGACATCATCCTTCAATATGATGGACTCTATCTCCATCGAAGGCCCTGTTCTGAAATCTAGGCCTGGATAGGGTCTCAGATATTGCAGCAGAGGAGATGCTGCTGCAGGGGACCCATCCGCATCGAAGGAGAGGGATTAGAGATAGGATGGCATTGACAGCATTGCTAGCATGGAGGGATGGTGACATGAGCAAAGGCCTGACCTGGTAAATTGTCTCTCAAAGGGGAAGTATCTACAGTCTTTCTCATTAGACATCCAGACAATTCCACTGCTTTGCACTCCCCCGGAGAGGCACAGGTTTGATTTCCAGCTAGTGGCTTGGACTTCCTCAAACTCTTTCAGAAACTGTGCCTCTCAGGTGGGGCAGTACTCAGTCAGGCCAGGCTCCTAGATACCATAGTAATGATTTTGGGATGGAGGGATAGATAGATAGATGTGGTGAATCTTTTTCACAAAGCATGCTGCTATCTCCTTGCAGTGCTGCCATGTTTGTGCCTGAGTCCGGATAAAGAGTCCAGACCGATATAGCAGCCAGCCGACAGTCTTCTGACTAGCTCTACTGCTGGCTGTGACCTGACACATGTGGTTGTGGAAGAGTAAAGCAATCTCTTTGCTTCCCTCATAACTGTGGTAGAGGAGCCACTGTTTTTTAGGTCACATTTTCCCCCCATCCCCATGTAATCCTTCCATCTAATCTGTCTGTCGCCTTTATTTCTGAGGTGTTTATTGCCATAGTTATAGTCTCCAAAGCAACCTCCAACTCACTCTGTATCCATCTGTAGTGTTCCTTATTGGCTAGTCAAAGAGCAGGGGAGGAAGGGAGTGTAAGGGTCTCTGACACTTTTTTCTTCTTCCCATCATAGAATCATAGAATCATAGAATATC